GCAGGCTCTCTGTGGCTACTAGCTAGTTTCCATTTCTACAGCCAGGACAGGCCGAGTTGTCAAGGGCCTCAGCCTAGCAGACACTGAATATGGGAGGGAGTCCCAGCGGCAGAATCGCTCAGGCCTGTGGTTTGCTTTGGCAAGGCCCAGGGCCACCGAGGGGGCAGAAGACAGTGAAGTATCTTAATCTTTTTCTCACGGAAAGATGAGATATTAAATAATCAGGATTAGATCTCAATTAGGAGCACTTTTGCATGATATTAATTAATAAATCAATCCATACAATCTCCATTTGGAGTCTCCAATCTCCATTTGGAGTGTGTTGGGTGTGGCACTCAGGGACAGGGACACAGAAATGAGGAAGACGTAGTCCCTGCTTTTGAGGCCCTGGCAGTCTGTGATGGAGACAGATGTCGAGTAAGTATGCGGGGATGCAGCGCCAGGTGCTGCCAGCCCCTGGCCAGACCAAGAGGCCGGCGCTTCACTGTGTAGGTGATAGGAGACCACTATGGCTTCTCAGCCCGCAAGGTCTCTGGTCACTTTCCAGGGTGATTTTGAGTGGAACAAGCCTGGAATCAGGGAGAACCCCAGAGTAAGAAATTTTCAGAAATTTAGGAAAAGTAAGCAGAGGTTAAACAGATATAGGCAATGTAATCCAGGAAGCATTAACTGGTGATCAACTTTAATGAGAACCTATATTGCTCTTTCACTTAACTATAGGAAAGGCATTTCCATCTCTCTTGAACTTCCTTCAGTCCTCTGTCGCTGGCACTGAGGATTCCCCCTAGTCTCCCTGCTCGCATGGGGTTCAAGCTCCGCTGCTGGGATGGGCACGGCAACCTTCTTCCAAGTGGGACAGGCACACTCCTGCTCCTTCCAGATGTCAAGGCGAATTTCCCCTCAGCTATACTTGACGTGCTGTCTTCCTGCCTGTGAGGTCGGGTGGCCTCAAGGACAGTTAACTCTAGCAGGGGAGGGTTGGTGAGTGTGCGAGGCCTCCAGGGCACCACCAGACCAGGAGAGGTGTTTGCCCAAAAGGTTTCAGGCTTTGAGGAGAGAACCAGAACGTTGCTAGCTGGGGGGTGATATCACTTTCTGTAGCTGGGGGGAGGGTGTGCGGGATGAAGATCGTTAGGTGAGGTGAAGATGTGAAGGAAAAGTGGGCTCTGAAGTCGGGATCCAGGTCAAGAGCAAGGTGGAGTGGGGTTGGAGGAAGAGATAAGGACAAATAGCTCAGGACCAAGTGCACACAGAACGAGACTGTGCCGGGTGCCTCTTTTTGTGGCTCCATGTTCTCGGTTCAGGCATCATGGCTTCAGGGAACCATGCAGAGCACTGCAGTAAAGTAAAAATGTGAGGAGAGCATTGCAGTGAAGTAAAAATGTAAGGTCTACTAATGTTTTAGACAAAGACAGAAGCAAAAGAAATTAATGAAGGAAAAAATAAGTGTCCAACAAAAAAAAAAAAAAGGACCAGCCGGTTTAACACCTACCGGTGTCAGTGGACCATAGTGGCTGGGAATACATGGCTCTTACATAATTTTGGATGCCAACCCCCTACCCGTCCGACAGGTGGTGGAAGGAACTGTAAGCACAGGCCTCTTGTAGGAAGACCCAGGAAGGAGATGCTGGAGGAGGTTTTATGAAAACACACAAGTACAAATCAACTGACTTAACACTTCCAAAAGACTCTGTTTTTTTCTTGATGGCACAGAAGTTTCTGGCTACGTGTGTCAGCATAAGCATATTTATCCTCTGCCTTTCTCTGCTGATGCGAGTGAGGGTGGGTTTCTAGATGGGGAGAGCTTGTTCCAGCTGAATGTTTTTCACCTGCGCTGGGATTGGGCTGCTATGGCTGCGTCATTGATTTCCATGCCTCTCAGCTGCCACCAAGGCTGACCGAGACCACCTGGGAGCCTCTGTACTTGGGCAGGGGCATCCTATTCTCAAAGTGGGCACCCTGACCCGGGGATCGCTGTGAAGATTGTGGAAGGTGTTTCCCGTTGTTAAAATAATTAAATGGGAGGCTAGAAGACTTAGGTGGCTTTGATGCCCTAGGCTCCTATGTAAGCAAACTGAAACCTCACTCAGAATTTAAAAAACAAACTCAAGCTCAGCCAACTGGGCACTAAGTTATAGTGTCTTCGACTTCCTACTGGTGTAGTCCAAGTAAGGCAATTGTTTATACTTCTTTGCTCCGCTTCCATGTTCATCTTATAAAATCTTTCCCCCCTGCCCCTTCGGCAGAGCCCCCAAACCACCTGTGGTCTGGAGCTGCCAGATCCTTGAATCACTGTTTGCTCAAATAAACTCTTTAATATTTTAATGTGCCTCAGTTTATCTTTTAACACAGTGCAGGGGGCCTGGCTGAGGTGGTAAAAGGCAGCCCACGCTCAGCTTGCTAAGCCATGTGCCTTGACATATAGGAAAGGTGGCCTTTTATTAACGCAAATGAAAACACCATACACGCCAGCTGTGACCTTGTCCCGACTGGTAGCTAAGTTTCGTGTATGACACTCCCAGCCGATCACACTTGCCTTTCACAGCCACCTGGTGAATCAGAGGGACATTGACGATCATTTCTTCCAGTGTTAGTGCAGGAGTTGGAAGGGCAGAGAGTATAACTGACTTACTCGGGGTAGTCTCTTGGTTTGTTTGTCAAGGCCAGAGTCGAATTCATCAAGGCCTGACCTTAAGTTCAATGCTCTTTCCACCCTAGCTCCCACCAGTACTTTTCCCTTCTCCAGACTCCCATTACAGGAATTCTCAGCAAGGAACCTGTGCCCAGCTATTAGTCTATGGCAACTTGGGGGAAAGGGATCCCAGCTCAGCAGCACAGAGAACAGCACCTAGTGGGAGTGCCTCCTTCTTGGAAATGAAGTACTGAGCCTTTGCTGGTGCCTGTGCTCAGAATCCTTACTGCACATCCCACCCAATCCGCCTCAAGTTCAGTCTCCACCCTTCTTTAGCAACTTTAGGCTTTTCCCTTGCAGGGTGGACGGGGTAGGGCTGGGGTGGGTTTGCAAAACATTAATGAATGTAATTGGTGCCTTTTCCCTGACCCAGCTTGGCTAGCTGCACTGGGCTGAAATTCCACATTCCATTGTTCTCCTTCTAAGAAAACAGAACTGGCTCTATTTAGCCCTAAGAATTGTCTGTCTGTGTAGACTTGCTTAAGAGAATCTGCAAATCAGATGGATTTACTGTTTACTGTGTCTCCTCTAGTCCAAGGGAAAAATATTATGCTTGAAAGCCATCAGCACTGTGTTCTGAATGGTTTCCCAGCCATTGTTCACTTGTATTCTGGTATGTGGGCTCAGTGGAACTTTCTCATTTTTTACTTATCTGTATGCACGTTTTATGCATCCTACCCATAGTGCTCAGCTGTTGGGTTTACTACCCAATTCTTTCTCTACCAACGATCTTTCTTTGTCAACCTATAAGGTTACAGTGATGAGGCTCTGGGAGCCACTTTGTACAATGCCACCCACACCACTGTCCTGGTCACAAGTGATTAGACCAGGAATGTACACCCAATTTGACTAGTCTCTGGAAATTTGGAAGTGGCCCAGTAAGAGAGACTTAGTCTTTCTTTGGGCTGTTGGCTCTGAATGGTACAACCTTAGAAGATGCTGCTAGTCATGTTGTCCATCATTAGACAGAAGGAAGATTTGGAAGCAAGTGTAAGTAGAGGAGGAAGCATGAAACAAATTTAAGAGAGAAACAGAGAAGAAAGATGGATTTAAAGACCTATTTCTAGTTCCAAAACCTATTTGAGACCCAATTATATTCCATCTTTTGGGTTTCAGCACATGCCCCTACATCCTTATGATAGAACGCTCTTTTTTGTTCTAATTATTTCCAATGGGTTTCTATGAACTACAATTAATAGTTCTTTCTGATATTTTAGCCAAATGGTTCTCAAAGTGGGACACATGGACTAGCATCATCATTTTCACTGGGGAACTTGTTAGAAATACAAGTTCTCATCCCCATCCCAGATCTACCAAATTAGAACCTTGGGAGGTATGTGTTTTAAAAACCCCTCCAGGTACCTCCAATTTGAGAGCCACTGGAGTAGCCATCCCTAGTGGTGGGCAGGAAGAGCAAGGGTAGGCCTGGATTTGAACCCTGGACCCATAGACTAGCATTGTGACTCTGGGCAAGTCACATCACCTTTTGGAGACTCAGCTTCGTCAGTGGTAGACTGGAGGACAATGATGTTTACAACATACATTGGCTGTAAGAAAAGCACACACTTCTGGGCACTTGAAAAACACCAGTTTTGTTTTTACCTCTGTGGACCCTGTTCTGACATAGAAGAAAAGTAGGATTGACCTAGGTCATTCATCGTGGAGACACAACCTGAGCTTTTAATAAACAACCCATCACCTAAACAGACCAGGTTCAGAGCTCACATGCAATCAGAACACCTAGACCTTATCCCTGGGGCCAGGTTCCCCTAGGTTACCAAGGGGTGGTTAGGAATTAAACCCAATAAATCTGAAACTCACTTTGATCCCTTGGGTCTCACTGACCTGTTTTCCTACTGTGTGGTAGAAGCCATGCAGTCTGGACTACCCTCAAATAAAACAAGGAAATAAACTGGTTTATCTTCGAGGAAGGAAAGCACAGGCTTCCACTTATTAATATACTTATTCACTCATTCATTCATTTGTCCACCTACCATTTATTCATTCACTGACTCTTTCATTCATTGATTCATCCACCCAACATTCACTGAGCTACTTCTCTGTCTAGATTCCAAGCCAGAGGCTAGGGATTTATAGATAAGGCTCTTGCACCCCCTCCTGTGATTCTTGACAGATAACAGTATGAACAAAGACTACAAACGTAGGAAGTGGTCTGGGCATGAGGGTATTACAGTCAGGAGATCTGTCTTGCAGAAGCAAAAGGTGGGTGTTGAGAAGTATGAGGCATGGGAGTCCAAGCTAGTAATGGAATGAAAAAGCTAAAAGACATCTGCTTTGGTTTCCACAGCATACCAGTCTGCAATCAACAGCAGCGGATGTTTTGCAAGGACCTCCCAGTTTTTTGGGCCACATTTGAGCCGCCCCAGGATGGATGACCCTGCAACAGGTAGATTCATTTGCCAAATACTGTTCATGCTGTTCATACTCTACGAGGGGTGGGCTGGTGAGGTCTCATTATAAAAGAATCCTTGTGTCTGCTATGACATGACAGCTGAATCAATCCAACCCCAAGTGAACTCCTTCTGGTATCCAAGAAGCCCGGCTATTTTCTGGATGCATCTCCACCCAGTTCTTGGCTTTCGTATCACTGGAACTTAAAGTTCCTATGCAAGATGGGGCAAAAACATTGAACCTCTCCCCAGACGGCTCTGCAGGAAATTCATCCAATTGGAAGCTTCCTCAGACATATCCTTTAGGGAAGTCTGGGCCAGCATTTCAGATACACAAGAGACGTGCATGGTCTGGGAGAGGGCAGCTACTCGGTAAATCCTGCCTCCCATCTGAAGGGTGGTTTTTCTGCTTGCGTCAATTACAAACTCCCTTAATGAGAGTCAAATTGTGTCTTTCTCATTCCCAGACCTTATATAAGAAGAACAAAAATAATTACTAACATGTTGTATGGGGTAGATAACACCCTTGGCCTCACTTGACCCTTGGCACTACCCCTGAGGAGTCGTTATTAGCATTTCGTTCCCATTTAACAGATGATGAGATGAGGTTCTTTTCATCGAAGTGTCTGAGCTTATTCTTATCCCGGTTCCAGATTCTAGATTTTATGCTCATTATAGAGCAGCAGTTTGTTTTCCAGGAAAACCATTGTTACTGGTACATAGGATTAGAAGGAACTTCTTGGGAGAACTTGGACATAGGGAGACAAGCTTATCCTCTGAGAGTTAAAGTTTAAGACAGGCACAAGAGGATTAGTGAGGAGACAGGATGGCTCCCAGGGCTGTGAGAGTCAGCTGATCTTAATCCAACCACAGATCTTAAATATATTTAACGAAGAAAGGAAAGCAGAGCCATGGAGGGAAATTTTGGCACTTTGTCCGTGCTGTGTGCTAGGAATCACATGAGGCTATCTTAATTGGGTGCTATTAGATGGTTTATTCATGTCGCTCCTCTCCCGCTGATACCTAGCTCACCCGGCCACCTTCTGAGTGTGACGTGACATCCGAGCTCTGCAGCCCACAGGGGGGGAAGGCACTGGCCGGGCCAATGTGAGGATTCCACTTTCATGTGCTGGTAGCTTCTTAATCTCCCAGTACAGTGACACATAAGCAGTCTGGCTTCCAGGAACTAACTTGGTGTGTGGGAGAGAAGGGTCAGCCCTTGGGGGTTGACAAAACCAGGTTTCTGAGCCTGGAGAATGGCAGGGTAGATCCAAAATTGGGACAATTTTAGTAAGTACACAAATAAAGCGCTGTCCTGGAAGGCCTCTTGGAATGCTGACCCGTCTCCTGGTTTCCTCTGGCAGCATGTTTGCTTTGCTCTGCAGACACAAGCCTGCATCAGAGCCCACTGCTCTTCCTGTAGCCTTGGCCTTGTTCTTGCTAGAGGTCAGTCTTGCCGATGTGTCCAGGCCTTGTGTTAATTCCTGTCCAAAATCATTTGCTGAACACCTGATCAATTCAAGATCATCACCTAGGAAGGTGATGACACCCTTCCTCCAATTCAAGTGCCTAATCTTGCAGGAGAGACAGACTTGTGCATAAGTAACTTGTAATCATTTCAGTGGTTTTCTGTGTTCTCCAAATGCATCAGCCAATATGTAAAACTTTTGATAGATATGATTTCACTTAGTTTTCACAACTAAACATGAACACATGAAAACATGGAGTTTTGAGAAATTAACTAATTTGCTACATGTCACAGAGCTCGTAGGGCAGAATGTAGAGTTGACTCCCTGAAACAGGAGTGGCTGGAAAGACTGTCATTGAAGTTCCAAATAGGTAAGAGTATAGTGCATACAGCTGAAATTGCTCTCCTGGTAATTTCCACTCATTGCCTGGTTTTGCCCTGGAAGCACACCAAAGTGAGGGTCCCAAAGCAATTTGAAGAGCAGTAGAAGAGTAAGTTGGACATAGTAAAAGACCCAAGTCTGGAGTTCTAGTTTAATATGAATTGACAAAGAGGGTCTAAAATCCACATTTAGTGTCAAAAATTATAATAGAAATTATATCTTTATCCTAGATAGAATTATATGAACTCAATCTAGTTAGTTACACTGAGTATATCATTACTCTTCCTGAGCTCTGATTAACTGGAAAGGATTAGTCCATTGAGTTTCATAAACAAATATTGAGTACTAACCTACTATGGGTAGGGCACGGAACTATGTTCTAGGGATATAGAGACAAAAAATATATTCTTCCTATTTCAAGAAACCTGCAGTCTGGCGGTGGGGGAGGGGGACATAATTAGGCATTTCAAAGTGTTCTTTTTCAAATTGTAACAATAATACAGTCTTCCATCCAAGTACTAACCAGGCCCAACCCTGCTTATCTTCCAAGATCAGATGAGATCTGGCATGTTTAGGGTGGTATGGCCATAGACAATAATAAATTCTCATTGCAAATAATTCAAGCAGTAGGCGAGTATTTATTTTCCAGGTGCTGAAAAGCCATTGATGGATGTTATCCTGGGGCCTCATGGAATAGGATTGGCCTTGGAAAGAGCTTCCTGGCTGTCGCTGGGTGCTGTAGGAAAGCAGGAAGTCTCAGAGAGCAGCAAGGAGGCCATGGTGCGACTTCAGCCTGAGGTGGGAAGGGCCTATGCTAGGACAGAGGCTGCTGGGTGGATCTGAGAGGTCAGGGGAGGGGAAAGTATGTATTGGGTTACTGAAGAATAGGGAAAATACAGCAACTTCGACTTAAGAAATGGGCCTCGCTAGACAAAACTTCTCAGGAGCTGGTCTCTTGGAAAGTGCCCTGAAGGCACAGCTAACCAAACAACCATCCCTCCTGGGCAATGGCTCCCCAGGTGAATGGTTTTGCCATACTTCCAATTCCAGGAACTGGCTGGAATAACATTTATGCAATGGGAATGCACGGGGGCCTGCCTCCCGGAGCCTGGCTGGTGGAGAACTTGGCAAGACTGGAGTCCTCTGAGTGGAAAGTCCTGCTGCTCTGCTGCAAGTGAACTTCCCTTGGAGGACTGACTTCAGGGGAGGCCAGAGCCAGCCGCCTGGAGGGCTGCATGGGTCTGGGCTTGGGCCTGGAGCTACTGGCAAGGAGGAGCTGGGGACGTGCAGGGAGTAGTATGATTACACATCATGTAATCTATAACATGAGCTAGCATGTCTATAACAGAGCTAGTAGAAGACACTGTGTAGTGGGAAGCTCTGCTGTCTTTCCCAGGCAGTGGACAGAGAGAGGGCTTAGAGCCAAAATAGCCTGCTCTGTCACCTCAGCTCCATGTGACCCTGGACAAGTCACTTAAGTTCTTTAAGCCTCAATGTCCTTGTATGTAAAATGGGGATATGCTTAGTACCCACCTCCTAGGGTCATTGCAAGAATAAGCCATAATGGATGGAAACTGCTAGTACTTTGCTCAGCACCTTGTAGAAAGTCAGTAAGTGGCAGTCACTGGTTGAGGAGTCAAAACTCTAACAAATGCAGCTCCCAGGAGGTTGAGGAGGTAGAGGGGAGGCAGAAGGCCATCTATCAAATAAAAGGACAAGTAAAGAATAAACTTATGACACTAAAGGCACACTCATGTTATGCATCTAGGGATCTAGGGTCAGTATAGCTCCTGAATATTTGCAAACCTAATATATGCAAATCAAATCATCCTCAAAACCTTAAGGAGGTTTCTTATTTAGAGGTATCCCAGTGAGAAGCCCTGCAATATTGATGTTGCTACCGACAATACTACAGTGCTACCGTCTCACCAGGAGCTTTTGGAGGAAAGAGACAGTTTATCTCTGTTTCTTTAGTAACCCTTGGTCCTTTTTCTTTTTCACTAAACAGAATTGTTGGTTGAATCCCATATTTGGGTAGTTCTTTATAGACCGCCCTAGGCTTTGGGATACATTATCTCATTTGTTCTTTGAGCAATCTGGAATTTTAGATTAAAGATGGATTCCAGTTCTTGTCCCTGTTGTACTGGTGAGGAAACCGAGGCTCCGAGTGATAACATGGTTTGCCTGAGTCACTCAGCTAGCAGGGAGTGGATTTAGAATCCAAACCCAGGTTTTCAGACCTCAATCCAGTGTTTCTTCTTCTCCCCAGCTGTTAGCTCTTTCCAGGACTTTCGGAGTCCACTGTCCCCTGTGCACATGTATGGGGCATGGCAAGGCACACCCTGGCAGTGGGCAGGAGGTGGGATTTCGACACCAAGCGTGCACGTTTTGTGACCGAGTGCAAGTATGTAGGGTAAATAAATACCCAGACGAGGAGGCTCCCTTCCCTTGCTCTCCACCCTGGTTATGTGGGAGGGAATTCTGGGTCACAACCACCATTAGAATATTAATAACATGTTCTTCAGACAACAGCCTGAAAGTCCTCCCACCCAACTCATCGCCAAGCTCTGGGTCTTAGACCAAAGTTCTAGCAATGATTAGTCTGAACATTCCCCACAAACCTCCTTCGCTGGGCTCCTCCCATCTGCCGGCCTCTCACCGGCCCACTCAAGGGCAGGCGCATCCGGGGAACTCCTGCCCCACACAGTTCAGAAGCAGGACTCGCTCTGCCCAGCGAGGCAGCACCCAGTGCTCCTTTAGCTCAGCATAGATGATGGGTTTTCAAATGTTTGTGACAGGTAACTGGGAAATTCACTCTTATCTTACTCTACAAGGCTAAAGAGGACTATTAATAAAAAGCTGTTTTCTCACTGGTCCTCACAGGAAGAATGGTCTAGCTCTGAATTCCTGTGTGTCTGTCTCAGGGAAGTGTGGCTGCTCCCTTGAGGGTGGACACAAAAGGCTCTCTGAGAAGAGGTTGGAGCTGAGACTTGAGGGAGGAGCTGGCACGGGCACAGCTGAAGGAAGCACATTCCAGAAGGGGGAACTGTGGGTGCCACAGCCTTGAAATGGGAGTGAGTTTGGAGTGTTCAAGGAGCTGGGGAAGTCAGTGTAGCCGGTGCCTGGTGTGTGCCAGGTGAGTGAGG